CCCCCCAGCCCCCTACCCCCCCTTGCCCCCCCCCCGACTCTCCCCGTGCCGCGTCACCCTCCGGCATTCCTCGTCGCCCTCTTCGGGTCTCCATGGGCTCTGACCTCCTCGTGACGCAAACTCCCACGGTGGTGGCGGTGGTGGTGGAGGTGGCGGTGGCGGTGGCGGCGGAGGTGGCGGCGGAGGTGGTGGCGGTGGTGGTGGCGGAGGTGGTGGCGGTGGTGGCGGTGGGGAAACGTCGCGAGTCTCTCTCCCTCCCCTCCATCCCCCCCACTCCGTCAACGCGAGTCACCTCCACACACACACACCCCCCCCACGACTACCTCCACCTCTACCACCACACCCCCCCAACCATTACCGCCACCACCTTCACCACCGCCACCTCCACCGCCGCCACCGCTACAACCTCCATCGCCGCCACCACCACAGCTACCGCAACCACCTCCACCACCACCACGACCTTTACCTCCACCACCGCTACCGCCACCACGACTACCCCCGCCACAACCACAACCCACAACCGCTGTGGTTGTGGTTGCCGGGTCCCAGAAGGGAGGCTGAGCCAGGCCTGAGCCAGGCCTGAGCCAGGCAGCGCCGGGTATCATAGAAGGAGCTGAGAGTGGGGAGAGCTCGTGGCTGCTGGTTCTTGGACTCGTCTCGTCTCACCGCCATCGTCACGAGACATTGTTTTGTCTCATCTCACCGCCATCGTCACTAGACATTGCACTCATCTCGTGTCATCCCACCGCCATCTTCGCTAGACATTGCACGGCCGGATGTTTGTTGTCCGTGTCGGTGGCCTCCGCCGGTGCGACACGTCGAGGGTCGAGTCTGGGCGAGGCGGGACGACCCGCGGGAGTCTACGGGGGACCTGTGCCGTGTCAAGCCGCCAATAAAGACGGTGTGCCTCACGGAAACCCTCGTCACGTGAAGGGTCTCTAGAGTTCATTCAGCTGGTCAGTGATCAAACAACAACAACTCAATCACCCACCCAACCACACTCACACCCCTTGTGAATGAGACCTCCTGTGCATATAAATAACATTCGTCGCTTTTGATTTATCTACCTGCTAACACGAATCAATCTGGTCAAACCCGACACACCCTCCCCCCCCATTAGGGTCGTGTTGTGAGTGTCGCCGTGAGTGTCGCCGTGAGTGTCGCCGTGAGTGTCGCCGTGAGTGTCGCCGTGAGTGGCGCCGTGAGTGTCGCCGTGAGTGTCGCCGTGAGTGGTGCCGTGAGTGGCGCCGTGAGTGGCGCCGTGAGTGGCGCCGTGAGCGTCGCCGTGAGCGTCGCCGTGAGCGTCGCCGTGAGCGTCGCCGTGAGCGTCGCCGTGAGCGTCGCCGTGAGCGTCGCCGTGAGCGGTGCCGTGAGCGTCGCCGTGAGCGTCGCCGTGAGCGTCGCCGTGAGCGTCGCCGTGAGCGTCGCCGTGAGCGTCGCCGTGAGTGGTGCCGTGAGCGTCGCCGTGAGCGTCGCCGTGAGCGGTGCCGTGAGTGTCGCCGTGAGCGTCGCCGTGAGCGTCGCCGTGAGCGTCGCCGTGAGCGTCGCCGTGAGCGTCGCCGTGAGCGGTGCCGTGAGCGGTGCCGTGAGCGTCGCCGTGAGCGGTGCCGTGAGCGGTGCCGTGAGCGGTGCCGTGGGCGGTGTAAAGATTCTACACACGGGCCTTGATTGTGCGGATTACACCCCAGCGCACAGAGACACCCCAGCGCACAGACACACCCCAGCGCACAAACAGCCTACAACACACAGACACACCCCAACGCACAGACAGCCTACAACACACAGACACACCCTGCAACACACAGACACACCCCAACGACAACTCCGCCACCACCACGGCGCTTGTGCCAGGCCAGGCCAGCCCCCCCCTTTGAGGCGACGTCAAGCGGCAAACGCCCGCTAGGCAGGAGGTCACAGGACAGACCCAGGGGCTAGACTGAGCAAGATGACACAGACACACCCTGCAACACACAGACACACCCTGCAACACACAGACACAGCCCGCAGCCCACAGACACACACACACAGACACACACACAACACACAGACATAGCCTGCAACACACAGACACACCCTGCAACACACAGACACACCCTGCAACACACAGATACACCCTGCAACACACAGACACACATAACACACAGACACACAAAGACACACCCTGCAACACAGACACACCCAGACACACACACAGACACACCCTGCAACACACAGACATACCCTGCAGCACACAGACACACCCTACAACACACAGATACACACATAACACAGACACACAAAGACACACCCTGCAACACAGACACACCCAGACACACACACAGATACACCCTGAAGCACACAGACACACCCTGCAGCACACAGACACCCTGCAGCACACAGACACAGCCTGCAACACACAGATACACCCTGCAACACACAGACACAGCCTGCAACACACATACACCCTGCAGCACACAGACACAGCCCGCAGCACACAGACACACACACAACACACAGAGACACCCTGCAGCACACAGACACACACACAACACACAGACACACACAACACACAGACACACACTACACACACACAGACACCCTGCAGCACACAGACACACACAGACACACCCTGCAACACACAGACAAACCCTACACACAGACACACACAACACACAGACACACCCTACAACACACAGACACACACACAATTGCACACACACATGTACACACACACAATTGCACACACACACACACATTCCACAAACACACACACAATTGCACAACACACACAATTGCACAAACACACACATACACACACACATGCACACACATACAAACACACAATTGCACACACATACACACACACAATTTCACACACATACGCACAATTTCACACACACACATATACACACAATTGCACATGCACACACACACAATTGCACACACACACACACAATTGCACATACACACACACAATTGCACACACATACACGCACACAATTGCACACACATACACACACAATGACACACAGATAACTGCAGGGTAGAGAGAGGGGGAAGAGAAGAAATAAAAAAGGCAAAGCAGAGCTGCAAAGGGGAGCCGTGCTATTGGCTGCTCGGCAGCCAATCGGGAGGAGGAGAGGCCCATCCGTCACTAAGGCACGCGTTCTGCCCGGCAACAGGGGCAGCTGCCTGCCCCACACACACACACGGGTCTCCTGCCCCACACACACACACGGGTCTCCTGCTACACACACACACACACACGGGTCTCCTGCTACACACACACACGGGTCTCCTGCCCCACACACACACACGGGTCTCCTGCTACACACACACACACGGGTCTCCTGCTACACACACACACGGGTCTCCTGCCCCACACACACACACGGGTCTCCTGCTACACACACACACGGGTCTCCTGCTACACACACACACGGGTCTCCTGCCCCACACACACACACGGGTCTCCTGCTACACACACACACGGGTCTCCTGCTACACACACACACGGGTCTCCTGCCCCACACACACACACACACGGGTCTCCTGCCCCACACACACGGGTCTCCTGCTCCACACACACACACACGGGTCTCCTGCACCACACACACACACACGGGTCTCCTGCACCACACACACACACACACGGGTCTCCTGCACCACACACACACACACACACGGGTCTCCTGCACCACACACACACACACGGGTCTCCTGCTACACACACACACACACGGGTCTCCTGCACCACACACACACACACGGGTCTCCTGCACCACACACACACACACGGGTCTCCTGCTACACACACACACACACACGGGTCTCCTGCACCACACACACACACGGGTCTCCTGCTACACACACACACACGGGTCTCCTGCTACACACACACACACGGGTCTCCTGCACCACACACACGGGTCTCCTGCACCACCCACACACACACGGGTCTCCTGCACCACACACACGGGTCTCCTGCACCACACACACACACACACGGGTCTCCTGCACCACACACACACACACGGGTCTCCTGCACCACACACACGGGTCTCCTGCTCCACACACACACACACGGGTCTCCTGCCACCACACACACACGGGTCTCCTGCACCACACACACACGGGTCTCCTGCACCACACACACACACGGGTCTCCTGCTCCACACACACACACGGGTCTCCTGCCACCACACACACACGGGTCTCCTGCTACACACACACACGGGTCTCCTGCACCACACACACACGGGTCTCCTGCTACACACACACACGGGTCTCCTGCACCACACACACGGGTCTCCTGCACCACACACACACACACACGGGTCTCCTGCCCCACACACACACACGGGTCTCCTGCTACACACACACACACGGGTCTCCTGCACCACACACACACACACACGGGTCTCCTGCACCACACACACACACACACGGGTCTCCTGCTACACACACACGAGTCTCCTGCACCACACACACACACGAGTCTCCTGCACCACACACACACACGGGTCTCCTGCTACACACACACACGGGTCTCCTGCTACACACACACACGAGTCTCCTGCACCACACACACACACGGGTCTCCTGCCCCACACACACACACGGGTCTCCTGCCCCACGAAGGGAGGGAGACAGATGGCTGCCGAGCCAAGGCCACTGAACCTCACAGGCAGCAGCTACTCCCCTGGGGGGGGACATTGCGGCGACAACAATGTGGTGTGTGTGGTGTGTGTGTGGTGTTGTGTGTGGTGTGTGCGCGGTGTGTGCTGTATGTGGTGTGTGTGTGCGGTGTGTGTGCGATTGGTGTGTGTGGTGTGTATGCGGTGCGTGTGGTGTGTGCTGTATGCAATGTGTGCATTGTGTGTGTGTGTGCAATGTATGCAGTGTGTGTGGTGTGTGTGCTGTGTGCAATGTATGCAGTGTGTGTGGTGTGTATGTGGTGTGTGTGCAATGTATGGTGTGTGCGATGTGCGTTGTGTGCGGTGTGCGGTGCGTGCGCGTACCTTGAGGCTGCTCTCGTAGTCGGTGTTGAGCTTGAACATCAAAGCGAGCCGCAGGTGGACCTCATTGGCGCGCCGGAAGCCCGGCTCGATGTAGAGCACCTCCTGGAAGGCCTTGGTGGCCCTGGGGGGACACGGGGGGGGGGGGACACGGGAGGGGGGGGGAGGCAGTGTCAGCGGGGGCCGGTTACAGGCTGGACGTCCGGGGTGGGAGATGGAGCCGATGTCTTGCAACGCGGATCCGACGCGGTGGTCGGAACGGAGCCGTCGGTACGGAACCGGCAACATTTAATGGAACTGCCTGAACGGTACGTTCAGAGTGGAACCTGCGGAACAGAATAGATCCAGTAGAACGGTACGTTCAGAGTGGAACCTGCGGAACAGAATAGATCCAGTAGAACGGAACGTTCAGAGTGGAACCAGCGGAACAGAATAGATCCTGCAGAACGGAACGTTCAGAGTGGAACCAGCGGAACAGAATAGATCCTGCAGAACGGAACGTTCAGAGTGGAACCAGCGGAACAGAATAGATCCTGCAGAACGGAACGTTCAGAGTGGAACCAGCGGAACAGAATAGATCCTGCAGAACGGAACGTTCAGAGTGGAACCAGCGGAACAGAATAGATCCTGCAGAACGGAACGTTCAGAGTGGAACCAGCGGAACAGAATAGATCCAGTAGAACGGAACGTTCAGAGTGGAACCAGCGGAACAGAATAGATCCTGCAGAACGGAACGTTCAGAGTGGAACCAGCGGAACAGAATAGATCCAGTAGAACGGAACGTTCAGAGTGGAACCAGCGGAACAGAATAGATCCTGCAGAACGGAATGTTCAGAGTGGAACCTGCGGAACAGAATAGATCCTGCAGAACGGAACATTCAGAGTGGAACCAGCGGAACAGAATAGATCCTGCAGAACGGAACGTTCAGAGTGGAACCAGCGGAACAGGACAGTGCACCATGATTTGCGACGCTCTTTGCGCAACGCTGTGAGAAAGAGCTTTACAGCTTGTCGGATTCCTCCAGTACAAATATTCCGCGTGTGACGTTCAAGTGTGTGACGCTCAAGTGTGTGACGTTCAAGTGTGTGACGCTCAAGTGTGTGACGATGTGTGACGCTCAAGGTGTGACACTGTGTGTGACACTGTGTGACACTGTGTGTGACACTGTGTGTGTGGCACTGTGTGTGACACTGTGTGTGTGGCACTGTGTGTGTGACACTGGGTGTGTGTGACACTGGGTGTGTGTGACGCTGGGTGTGTGACACTGTGTGTGACACTGGGTGTGTGTGACGCTGTGTGACACTGGGTGTGTGTGACACTGGGTGTGTGTGACGCTGTGTGTGTGTGACGCTGGGTGTGTGTGACACTGTGTGTGTGACACTGTGTGTGACACCGTGTGACACTGAGTGTGTGTGACACTGTGTGTGACGCTGTGTGTGACACTGTGTGTGACACCATGTGACACTGAGTGTGTGTGACACTGTGTGTGACACCATGTGACACTGAGTGTGTGTGACACTGTGTGTGACACTGTGCCAGTGACGCTGTGTGTGTGTGACACTGGGTGTGTGTGACACTGTGTGTGACACTGGGTGTGTGTGACAGTGCCAGTGACGCTGTGTGTGTGTGACACTGTGTGTGACACTGTGTGTGACACTGTGTGTGACGCTGTGTGTGACGCTGTGTGTGACGCTGTGTGTGACACTGTGTGTGACACTGTGTGTGACGCTGTGTGTGACACTGTGTGTGACGCTGTGTGTGACGCTGTGTGTGACACTGTGTGTGACACTGAGTGTGTGTGACACTGTGTGTGACACTGTGTGTGACGCTGTGTGTGACACTGTGTGTGACACTGTGTGTGACACTGTGTGTGACACTGAGTGTGTGTGACACTGTGTGTGACACTGTGTGTGACGCTGTGTGTGACACTGTGTGTGACACTGAGTGTGACACTGTGTGTGACGCTGTGTGTGACACTGTGTGTGACACTGTGTGTGACACTGTGTGTGACACTGTGTGTGACACTGTGTGTGACACTGTGTGTGACGCTGTGTGTGACACTGTGTGTGACACTGTGTGTGACGCTGTGTGTGACACTGTGTGTGACACTGAGTGTGTGTGACACTGTGTGTGACACTGTGTGTGACGCTGTGTGTGACACTGAGTGACACTGGCTGTGTGTGACACTGTGCCAGTGACACTGTGTGTGTGTGACACTGAGTGTGTGTGACTCAGAACTGACCCAGTAACCCGCCACAGCCCACGGTGACCCCCCCAACTAGCCCCTCCCCCACAAAGCCCCTACCCCCAACTCTGCACAGCCACACACACAAAGACAAAGATCCCCGTGTAGCCTTAACAGACTGTAGGGGCAAGTGCTGTGAGCGAGCACTTATTAAGGCCGGAACGGTACACGAGGGGGTGGGTGGCCAGCACCACGCTCGACCGCCTTTGTCTCCCCAGTGGCGATGTTTACTACACACTGCACCAGGTACTCATTTGAGGCTGAGTCGACCTAGGGGAGGCCCAGGAGCGGTTCAGATAATCGTCGCTGGTGGTGTTGGCCGTGAGCGGGAATCGAACCCGGGTTGATAGCGCAGCGTAGCGCTAACTGCTGCACCACCACTCCCACACCCACATACCTGCACGACCACACACACACCTGCACGGATACACACACACCTACACACACACACCTACACGGCCACACACACACCTGCACGGCCACACACACATCGACACACACACACACCTACACGGCCACACACACACCTGCACGGCCACACACACACACACCGACACACACACCTACACGGCCACACACACACCTGCACGGCCACACACACATTGACACACACACACCTACACGGCCACACACACACACACCGACACACACACCTACACGGCCACACACACACCTGCACGGCCACACACACCGACACACACACACACCTACATCGACACACACACCTGCACGACCCCACACACACACACCTGCACGACCACACACACACCTACACACACCTGCACGGCCACACACACCTACACACACGCACCTGCACGGCCACACACACACACCTACATACACCTACACGGCCACACACACACGCACCTGCACGGCCACACACACACACAGAGTTACGGAGGCTGCACAGTGGCACTGTCGACCCTGGGAGAGACCCCCACGGATCCCCTTTCATCCTGTGGCCACAGCGCGTGCTGAGGCCACTGCCCTTGATCCCACGTGATGGGGTACAGGAAGTGGGGGGGAGGGGGGAGACTGGGGGGTCAAGACCCCCCCCCCTCACCTCCAAACCTCCCACCACCATCAGAGGTCCGGCTTCCTCTCCCTGCGTCACCCCTCACCCCACCCCTCGCTCTCCCATCCATTCTCTCACTTCCCCTTCACGCGAAAGCGGCCTCCCACCTCTCTACTCATCTACCACACGTGTCCCCACGTGTCCCCACGTGTCCCCACGTCTCTACGCATCTCCCCACATCTCCCCTCATCTACCACATGTCTCACCGTGTCTCCCCCCACATCTCCGGTCACACACAGTCACACAGACACACAGACAAAGATAAAAGACATACAGACACACACAGACACCGACACACACAGCCACACGTACACCGACACACACACCGACACACACAGCGACACACACACAGCAACACACACAGCGACACACACAGCAACACACACACAGACACACACACCCACCGACACACACAGACACACACACAGACACACACACAGACACACACACAGACACACACACAGACACACACACCGACACACACAGACACACACACCGACACACACACCGACACACAGACACACACACCGACACACAGACACACACAGACACACACACAAAGACACACAGACACACACACACAGACACACACACCGACACACACACAGACACACACCGACACACAGACACACACACACAGACCCCGCAGTATAACCATCAGCCTCCACTTGCTCCCTCCACAGGGGGAGGGCCCAAGGGGATTGGTTTGGCGAGGTGCGACCCTTGAACTCTGACCCCTGGGGGCATGACCTCTATCTGCCACCTCCTGTCAGGATGTCTTGGAGGCACAGGAAAAAGGCGATGGCGATACAACACACACACACTCACTCATACACACACATACACACACACTCACTCATACACACACATACACACACACTCACTCATACACACACATACACACACACTCACTCATACACACACATACACACACACTCACTCATACACACACATACACACACACTCACTCATACACACACATACACACACACTCACTCATACACACACACACTCACTCATACACACACACTCATACACACACACTCATACACTCATACACACTCACTCATACACACACACACACTCATACACACACACTCATACACACACACACACTCATACACACACACACACTCACTCATACACACTCACTCATACACACACACACACTCACTCATACACACACACACACTCACTCATACACACTCACTCATACACACACACACACTCACTCATACACACTCACTCATACACACACACACACTCACTCATACACACACACACACTCACTCACTCATACACACACACACACTCACTCATACACACACACTCATACACACACACACACTCACTCATACACACACACACACTCACTCATACACACTCACTCATACACACACACACACTCACTCATACACACTCACTCATACACACACACACACTCACTCATACACACACACACACTCACTCATACACACTCACTCATACACACACACACACTCACTCATACACACTCACTCATACACACACACACACTCACTCATACACACATTAACACACACTCACTCATACACACATACACACTCACTCATACACACACATACACACTCATACACACATACACACACACACACTCACTCATACACACATACACACTCACTCATACACACACATACACACACTCACTCATACACACACACACTCACTCATACACACACACACACTCACTCATACACACACACTCATACACACACATACACACACACTCATACACACACACACACTCACTCATACACACACACACATACACACACATACACACACTCATACACACACACACACTCACTCATACACACTCACTCATACACACACACACACTCACTCATACACACTCACTCATACACACACACACACTCACTCATACACACACACACACTCACTCATACACACTCATACACCCTCATACACACATACACACACACACACTCACTCATACACACATACACACTCACTCATACACACACATACACACACTCACTCATACACACACACACTCACTCATACACACACACACA